TTTTTTTTTCCCCCCCAAAGCCCCAGTAGACAGTTGTATGTCATAGTTGCACATCCTTCTAGTTGCTGTACGTGGGACGTGGCCTCAGCATGGCCGAAGAAGCGGTGCGTTGGTGGGCGGCCGGGATCCCAACCCGGGCCGCCAGTAGCGGAGCGTGCGCACTTAACCGCTAAGCCACGGGGTGGCCCAGATGTGTAGTTTTTAAAGGTTCCTCTTTGCTGACTTCTGCCCTTTTGAAATAAACCAAGGTGGAGCTTTTTCATGTCACCTGTGATCCAGCTGATGTGATTTCTTGCTCAGGAGCTGTGGCCAGAAGGGTGTTTGGAAAGCTGGGGTCCTGAGCCTGGGGGAATAGAGCAGGCACATCTCCTGTGATGTTGACAAGGATGCGTGCATGGCACCTCCAGCCTCTCCTGGAGTCTCCTGGGGTCTCTCCCCCAGGGGGAAGCAGTAGGCAGTGTGGGTACCCCTGTGCTTTCCTCTGTGAAAGAAGTTGACAGCATGTCCCTCCTCCCCCAAAGACTGAGCCATTTGGGTCACTCCTTCCAAATCTCTAGGGTCGTTCACAGTTGGAAGCATGCTCTCTGGTTCATGAGCCCGTCACTTGATCCACCCACCTGCCCCCCCTCAAGAGCTTTTCCTTCATAACACGCATCATGTGGACTGCTGTTAGCACAGTGCTTCCGGGCTTGGCTGCCCATCTGACTTCCCACAGGCCGAAGGATAAGCAGGATCCGTGAGGTGTGGTACAGTCACGGACACAGCAGGGTTTTGGTCTCAATCCTGCTTGCCAGCTGTGTGACCTCGGACGGGCCGTTTCACTTCACTTTTCGCCTCACCTCTCTGGTCTCCTCCAACTCCCCTTCCCTTCACAGTCAAATCTCATGGAGTTGTCCACACTCTCTTCCTTCCCTTCTTGCTTCTCATTCAGTCAGCAACACAATCCGTTGAGCTTCTGTCTCCAGCTGGCCCCTGGAACTACCTGGTCAAGATCCCTGATGACACCTGTATTACGTTCGAGTTGTGGAATCAAGGGGCATTTTTTTCTCCTGAAATTCGATTTTCACAATAATCTTAAAAACAAAAGTGAAGCAAAACAAACCAAGAAGAACAATGAAAAACTAGGCAGTTTAGCCTAATGGTTAGAAGTGTGGATTTTTTTGGATTCAAATCTCCAAACTTCACTCTCTACACATGTAAAATAGGGAAAATAATAGAACCACCTCAGAATCGTGGGAAGGATAGTAAACCCCATTGGATGGCAGCTGTTATACTTTGATTGCTGTTTCACTTCACGTGAGGGAATCATTGGGAAGTCTTTGTTTTGCTCCCTTTTGGCCACTAAGAGGCGCACTTTGGAGCAGAAGAAACGCGGGGGAAATAATCTGAAAATTGAATTATTCTCCGGCAGAGCGGCACCTACTCGTGGCGGAAGCGGATGCCCGCCATCAGGTCCTAGAAGCTCAGAAAGAATTCCAAATTTTCTACGCAGTCCCAACGGCAGGTATGAAAAATGTTCAGTACTACTCCCGGATACTACACCCTAGGAAGACACAGGCAGCGTTCGACTTTTTCACTGTTACTTCTCTGGCGTGTCTATTTTCTTTGGAGGACCGAGAGCCGGAAGCGCTCGCTGTTACCTGCCAGGACCTGAGGGCTGAGTCCCGTCAGCCCTCGCGCGCCGCCTCGCCCTCTCTTCCTCGCGCTGGTCCCGCGGCGGCCGACGTCTCCATTCGGTGAGTCTTTATGCTTCGCCGTGCGCGTCTCTTCAGTCCGCGTCCGGTCCCATCGCCCCGTGGTGGGCAGGCCTGTCCTTCAGCGGTCGCCTCGGTGGGCACCGTCCTTGTCGGCTGGCTGGAGCGCGAGCAGGAGAAGAGCGAGGCGGCCGGCGAGTGACTGAAGTTCGCTTCCCGGGCGCTTGCCCTCCTGGGGAGGCCGCTGGGGTCAGTCGGGCCTGCAGGCCGCTAGTCCCGGCCCTGGGGGCGCGGGGCGCCTGTTGGGGCCGGACTAAGGGGGCCGCTGGGGCGGCCGGGGCTTCCGTCCTGACGGCCCTGGGCTCGGTCCTCGGATCCATCACCGCGCTTGGTGCTGTCTGCCCACGTGTGTCCTTCTGCTTCCGCTGCCCCACGCGCCCTCCCTCCAGTGTCGGGGCCTGGGGCTGCTGCTGCGGCGGGATCGCCGAAAAAAAAAAAGAAAATACGAGCTGCGAGGCGGCTCGTTCCATTCACAGAAATTCTGGTAGCGGGTCAGCACTTCTGGGAATATGAAACCGCGTCCTTGTTTTCGATGAAATCATGGCGCCGGGCGCGGAGGGAGTCATTCCCTAATTAAACACATGTTCATTGAGTACCTACTGTATGCCGAACAAAGAAATTGATCGCTGAGAAGAGAACAAAAAGTGGCTACAGCAGAAGAAAATAGGGTAGCTGGGAAGGCCACCTCCCAGAGGTGGAAGTGACAGAGGAAGGTCACTGTTACGCTGATACTCAGATGAGCTCCAGGTAGAACAGTATGTTCAGACCTAGAGGCGTTTTAGAAGCACATCCTGGTTTTGTATAGCGTCTGAGCATACTGCAGAGCAGCAGCACCTGGGGGAACGATAGGTTTCTATTTACTGACCCTCTTGGTCCGGGCACTGCAAGCATTCAGTGTGCAATATCTCATTTTACAAGTGAGAAACCGGACTCGGGTTCACGTAAATTCCCCAAGGCCTGCATAACTAAAAGGAAATGCGACCATCTGGGGGGTGGGACACTTTGTGGAGTGGCATCTGCTGCCCCTGTTAAGCTGAGAACGTTTTAGATCGGCTCTTGGCGTTCCTTCTTGGCTTTGAGTGGGTGAGGTGACCCCTCACCTCCCAGGATCGCGTCTGGAGAGTGGCTAGTACTCTGCCAGCTTCGGAGACGGGAGGGAAAGCAAGCCTGGCAGAGGGACCCATTCCATTCCCAGCTGTCTCAGTAGCTGGTGATTGGAAGACACTCTGCAACAATGTTCAAGCCCTGGGCAAGAAGGCCTCCTTCCAAGGCTCTAATTGGACACAGTCTCTGCCTCTTTCTTGAAGGCGTCATGGCTGCCCTCAGACCCCTCGTGAAGCCCAAGATCGTCAAAAAGAGGACCAAGAAGTTCATTCGGCACCAGTCAGACCGATATGTCAAAATTAAGGTATATGGCCCTGGGATGGAAGTGTGTGTTGGGGTGAAGAAGGGGTTCTTCAATGGGCTGTTGGGTTTCTGACGTCTAGTGGGAAGGTTACTGTCGGCAGATGAACCGGGCTGGTGCTGGAAGAGCACTGGGCAGAAACCCGGGTCTCCCTGAGTGTGCCTTCCTGCCACTCCGTCTTTTGATGTGTAAACTCAAATTTAAATGACGAGGGACACTTGGCTGTTCTGAGGTGTCTAGAGGCTTGTACTTGTATCATATTTCAGGTGGCCTCGTGACAGTATGAGAGGTAGATAATCCTTATTTCGTAGATGAGCAGACTTAGGTCTTGAGTGCAGTATCAAAGCCCACGCTCTTCATCTCACTGTATACACAGTCCCCTCACGTCGCATTGGTATGTAGTCTGCTTTTCCTTTGCTTAGGAGGAGTGGATGGGGGTCTATATTCCTGGTGGTCAGATGTAGGAGCCTCATCTTTTTCCACCAAAATATATAAAGAAGTAGTGAAACTCTGTTACCCAAGGACAGCTACTGTTTGCCATGTTTCCTTTTCATTTGGTCCCGTTTTTCCTCCAAAGGGAAGAGTTGGCAGTCCATGCAGACCCTGACCTTCCTGTGTTTTCTTTCAGCGTAACTGGCGGAAACCCAGAGGCATTGACAATAGGGTGCGCAGAAGATTCAAGGGCCAGATCTTGATGCCCAACATTGGTTATGGGAGCAACAAGAAAACAAAGCACATGCTGCCCAGCGGCTTCCGGAAGTTCCTAGTCCACAACGTCAAGGAGCTGGAAGTGCTGCTGATGTGCAACAAGTGAGTTGGGTCCCACAGGGTTCAGGTGTCAGAAGTCTACATCTCTGTGAGCAGTTTTGGCAGGGGTTCTAGACCTTTTAGAATGCACTTAGAGGAGTTGCATATTCTCCCAGGAGCTTCGAGAATGCTTGTTGGGGACTTCACAATGCTTCTTTTGCTGGAGGGGGCGGAGCCAGACAACTTGTCCTGAGAAGTGTAGACATCCAAGACCTGGAAAGAGAAGGACTTTGCTTGACACTACGAACACCACAGTGTCGTGCTGGCAGTCATTTCGAGAGCTTGCTTTATTTATGCGGGAGGCAGTGGAGAGAACAAACATCGCCCCAGAGCTAAGGGGCACTCCACGCCGGAGCCACGGGTATCTTCAGAATGCTGCAAGAGGGCCGGCCCCATGGCTTAGCGGTTAAGTGCGCGCGCTCCGCTACTGGTGGCCTGGGTTCGGATCCCGGGTGCGCACTGACTCACCGCTTCTCCAGCCATGCTGAGGCTGCGTCCCACATACAGCAAGTAGAAGGATGTGCAACTATGACAGACAACTATCTACTGGGGCTGTGGGGGGGGAAAGAAAAGGAGGAGGATTAGCATGGATGTTGGCTCAGGGCTGATCTTCCTGACAAAAAAAAAATGCGCAGGAATAGACGAGTTGCTGCCTGATGTAGGGCTCAGTGTGATCTGAGGCGGAGGAGAGGAGGAGGACTTTGTTTGCAGGCAGAGAGGACGGCCTACACAAAGTTGTAGAGATGCATGGAGCGTTCACAGTGTTACTTGCAAGTGTTTTGAGAAAGTTAGACACTTGGTGAGCTGTGTGTGTGAGACTTTTTGGGTCTGCTTAGGCCAAAAGTGGAGCAGTAGGATGAGAAAAGATTTCTCAAGGGAAGAGATTTAGACACCTTGACTCTAGATTGGAGGGAATGGTATTTTTTGGTTCAGCAGAGGACAGTTTATTTTCTTCTCTTCCTGTGAAAGAGAAGCTAAAAACCTGGATTGTCCTAAATCAGAAAGGATGTGGAGAGAGGGTGACTTACTGGTAACATCTGAGTGCGTGCATGTTTACAGAGACCTTTTATCTATAGTGATTGTAGTCACAAGTAATAAAAATGAGCAAAACCATTATTCTCACTCGTGGTTGAGTTTCTAGGTTGGAAGTTTAACCAGGTGTTGAAACACTGGAAATTTGCTTTAGAAAAGAGTAGTGTAGGGATTAATGGTGGTTGCCCAAACAGCAAGAAGCAGGTTGATAGAGAATTATGACAGAAAGATGCAATTTAATGCCTGTCGTGTAGCAAGATGATTACAGTGCAGATGTTGCTGATGCCATAAAGATACTCTTTTTTAGTAGCAGCAGCTTGGCAGTTTGTATCTGCCAAGAGCCATAGAAATACTCTGAATCGATGATCTTTAATCCACAAGTTCCATTTTGTGGCATTTATCCTTAAATGATTGAAAAGCAGGGGAACTTTATAAGCTGATCATTGTAGCAGTAACTGAACAATTGAAAATATTGGTGAATGGTGGGAGTACAAGCACTGGGTGGACTGTTATGCATACATTACAAATGTTGGGGCCAGCCCGGTGGCACAAGCGGTTAAGCGCGCACTCTGCTTTGGTGGCCCAGGGTTCGCAGGTTCGGGTCCCGGGCACACATTGATGCACTGCTTGTCAAGTCATGCTGCAGCGGCGTCCCATATAAAGCAGAGGAAGATGGGCACGGATGTTAGCTCAGGGCAGATCTTCCTCAGCAAAAAGAGGAGGATTGGCAACAGATGTTAGCTCAGGGCTGATCTTCCTCACACACCCAAAAAAATAATAATAATTGTCATGTATGGAAAATGCCCAACAGGGTATTTAAAATGATATGTATTTAAGTATTTAAAGTGGTATGTGCAGTGTGATCGTGATTATTAAATACACCTACGGACAAGGACCTGAGGAGTTTTTGAAAATACCACTTAAATCTTGAAAACAAAGATTTGGGGAACATTTTAAAATTTAGCTACTTTGAGGTTGAAAGGACTTCATGTACAACAAGAAAATTCTTTGTCTGGATTTGCTTGTCTCGCTGTTAAGATGTTTTCCTACAGAGCTCTTGAAAAGAACTGTGTATATGCCCACTGCCTCATTTAATTACTCCTTACAGTCTCTTCTTTGATGAAATTCGTCCATGGGTAGAGTGTCTTTTCTTAATCCACTGTTGGTGGCTTCATAAATTCTCCTTCCTGAAATGTGCTCATTAGGCCACTTTGTTATCAAACTGGGGCACGTGTAGCTGTGAGTAATGCGTGAGTTAGAACGGTATCTGGCACACAGGTGCTCATGACATGTTAGGTGTTGTCACTCACTGGGTAACTTTAGGCAAGTGTTACTTCTCAACTTGAACTTTGTCGCAGCAGTCAAACAAGTAAAATGTTTATAGTCTGAGCCAGGGAGCCCTTGGCTCAAATTGTTGGGTTCAGCTCTTGACTGCTTTGCAGAGTTCCAAAACTTTTCACGGGCAAGTCCAAGCTCCTGAGACTGCCCTGAGCTGGGCAGCTTGGCCAGAAGGACTGAGGGCAGGAGAACCTTTGAACCTGGAGCTGGGCTGAGCTCTCCTGACCCTGTCTCTTACTTAATGTGTGACTTGGGAATTCACTTCCACCTTTGTGGGCCTTGGTTTCCTTGTCTGTAAAATGGAGGCAATACCTGGATTACAAGGCTGCTACGAGGATTAGATGAGGAGGACAATGAGAGTGCTTTTTGTCACTACCAGGGAACACCTCGAGAGTCTTACTGCTAGTACCATGGAATTAGGGGAGTGGTGATTTAGGGCGTGCAGGTCTCGTTCAGCAGCCATTTACCAGCACCCTCTTTGCTCAGTACTGTGGCTCTGGAGGTGAAGGGACCAAAGCCATTGCGTTCCCAGTGTTGTGTATTCCCAGGCTGGCTTGCTCCTTACCCACTCACCGATTCTCTTCCAGATCTTACTGTGCTGAGATTGCTCACAACGTCTCCTCCAAGAACCGCAAAGCCATTGTGGAAAGAGCAGCCCAGCTGGCCATCAGAGTCACCAATCCCAATGCCAGGCTGCGCAGCGAAGAAAATGAATAGACAGCTCGCGTGCACATTGTATTTGTGTTAATAAAACCATAAAACTGCCATCTGGCATTCCCCCCTTTGTTTTACTGTTCAGTTTCTTACTTTGACAGCTTGTCACAGGGACTGTTCTTTTGCCTGTTGATGCTCTGTGGAATCTTCCATTTGGAAGGAGTTGGTAAAGGATACTCGGTCCTTCACAGGGCACAGACCTCAGGTGTCCAGACCAGCCTTGGTTGGCTCCAGTTGGGGCTGGGGAAGAGTGGGGGAGACTTGGCCCTCAGACCAAGGTAGTTTCTGAGACCCTTGATTAAAGGACCTTGCAGCTCGGAGCAAGTAGTCACTCTTAGCCTCAGTTTGTAAAGCTGGGTCACAGTTACCCTCTGCGGTTCTTGTGAAGATTGAGAACATGTGCATGAAAGGATCGAGATGAATTTTTTCTTACTCCCTTAAATGCTTATTTGGTGCTAGAATAGCACCCTATAGCTTCTATCCAAAAATATACAACAGGATGACACACAAATCCCTCCACTATGTAATAGCAGCCTTAAAAGTGTCTTCCAGTCTCCCTCCTGTGACCTGCCCCAGCCTGCTGCTTCAGGCAGAAGTGAATGGTTTCTGAAGGTGTGGGATCCTTAACTGATGGTAATGGTAACGGGCCTCTTGATTGGTACAATCAAGCTCCCTTTTCAACTACAGCCCTAAACCTTAAGCAACAATAGCTAGAATTTAGCTAGTTTAATGATAAGGTTATGATACCACTTTTCCAAGAAATGGTATTAAGTGGCACTATAGGTCACATGGGTATAGCATGTGGTACTTTAGTACAAAATCGATGCTTATCGGGTGTTTTTGTTTTCACCATCCTGGTCAACTGAGCAGAAATACTACACTGATGGTTTTCTTGGTGTGCTAGGCATGATGGGACTTAGGTCCCTTAGTTCAGTAGACACATGTCTTTCTTATAGGTTGACGACCACCTGTTCAAAACCTAGTCAGAAACAGTTGTTGAGTAAATTGTTGGTCATTTCTGTGATTTCTGTAAATTGACTTGGGAGGTAGACTGATAGTGCTCTATTGGGGAGAAGAATTGTGCAGAGAAAACAGTGACAATTTAGGATCTCTCCTTTATTAGCCTGGGATAGCACAGAAAATTCTCTGGCCTGTTGCTTAATATCTCTGTGTCCTCGATACTAAAAACTAGAAACAACATGTTCAAAACCTTCCTCAGAAGGACACCAACCAACTGGTTATGCCTACGTGGGGTGACGTGAAAGGTGGTTGTACTTGTCTTTGTGCTCTCCTCTTTGCCGGTTTGCTACATGAGAGTTTTGAAATTAGGAAAGAAAACACATTAGATCTAATTCCCTGCCGCACCCACCTCCCCCTGCAAAAAACCCGTACTTGCGATTCATCACTGCCAATTAGAAATAAAGCATTTTGAATTCTAAAATATGATTCTCAGAATCTGAGTTTTTAAGGTGCCCAGCCAAAGTACTAATTTTTGGCACATCAGATCAAGTGAAGTGAAGAAATTGGAGTGGTGTGAGTGGTAAATCTGGGCTACTAGTGGGAAGGAAGGCCAGCACGCTGCCTCCCAGCCCTCTGCAGCTGTGAGCGCGGGAGTATCTCTAAATACTACCTAGGACGTTGTGAGGCAGGCCCTCCCCAGTTTGAAGGGACCAGGGCAGTGTAAAGACACATCCATCTTCGAGGGAGTCATGGAAACTCTGTGTTGTGTTTGAATGACTGTCCTGAGTTAAAGGGCTCAACTGCTGGTAGCCTTGTAGCTCCGGAGCTGGGGGCCTGAGTTGGGGTCCCTGGAGAAGACACTGTAAACCCCGACCAGGAGCAAGAGTGCCCCCAGTGAGATGAAAGGGCAAAAGTAGAGGCCTCAGACTTGGGCAGGCCCCCTTCTCTTGAGTAAGGGCCCACCTGGGGACTGGGGGAGGACTAGCTGAGCTCCATTGAGTCTGTGCTGGGGGCTGAAGCAGAATCCTGGATGCTTTCGAAGAGGGCTGCGAGTTCAGGGTTGGATCGGATTTGAGAAGAAAAGTCGGCCATGATGGGGCTTTTCCCCACTTCAGGGATGGTCAGCAGGGCGGCCACTGCCCTCATCGCAGAACGCTTCAGTTCATCTTGCTTCTCAAACTCCTGCTTCACGGAACCAGCTTTGACCTAAAGCCAGAAACAGTGAACAACGAGCCATCCTTTACTGACCTGGCCTTGTACCACAGCCTCCTCATTGGGCCTTGTTTCCTCGTGACCAGCTGTGATCCTCACCAGCTTAAAACCGCACACTCCCCTGCTTCGGGCTCCTGTGGTTCCAGCCTCCTGAAGGCTTCCTCCACCTCTGGGCTTTTACACTGGCTCCTTTTCTCAGAGGGTGGTTCTCTGTCCTTCAGATCAGCTCCCATGTCACCTAAGGGGCCTCTGACCAGCTGATGTAAATTGCCCATTTTCGTTAATAAATAAGTTGATGGTGACAATTGCTGTAAAGTGTTCAGTTAATTGTCTCCTTGTCCTGACAGGGGGCATCAACTTAGCTTTATCTACTGTGCTGCACACAGGCTCTTGGTACCATGTGACTTAACTGCATGAATGGATTACTGTGACTGGCTCTACTGGCCTCTTCGCCCACCCAAGTCCCTGCCCCTGCAGTCCGTTCTGCAGAGGGCAGCTAGAGAATCAACGCCCCAGACTGCCTTGCCTGCTTTCTGTTTCCCCATCCCCCACCTTCTCCCACTTACTCAGAGAATCTCAGGAACCCCCCCCCCCACTGCTTATGGAATAAAGTCCAGATTCCTCCTGCTCGCCTCTCAAGGCCCTCCACGACTTGGCCCAGACAACACTTAGGCTCTTCCATAAAGAGTCTAGTGGTTAAGAACTTGGCGTTGGGGTTGGACAGTCCTGGGTTTGAATGGCTCTGCTCTGTAGAGCTGTGACTTCAGGTGGTCACTTCTTTGAGCCTCACTTCCCCATCTATAAATAAGAGCCTCCTTTTCACAGAGTTACCATGAGGGTTAATGACTTAATACAGGTCCATTACCCTGTCTCTGAAACCCTTGGGGCCAGATGTGCTTTTTGAATTTGGGATTTTGGGGGATTTTAGGAAAGTGATACTGTACAGATAACATGGGTCTGGTACAATACCCTGTAATCAAATACATTAATATTTCCCCCACTAAATTTATGAAAAATTTAAGAATATTATGAATATGACAATAAGAGAGAAATAAAGGTTATAAACAGCCTCATGCTAGTTCAAGTCAAGTTTTGTTGCCAAACAAGTTACTAAAAAGCTTTTGGTTTCCAGAGCTTGGTAGGTTTCAGAATTGTGGGTGAGGGGAAGTGGATGTGACAAGCTCTCATCACCACGGCATCCTCGCAGCAGCCAGACCGACTGGCTTTTGTGTGGGTGGGCCTCAGATCAAAGTGAGTGAAGGGGTCTCCTGACTCTGCAGTGCCACTGGCAGCTCCTCCCTGTGACTGGCACTTTTCTCCACGCTGTCCAGTTCAAAGAAAACGAGACAATTTGGCCGCTGAGACTGCCCAGAGTTCGGTGGCCCTGCAGAACCACTGTTTTCTTTGATTAACTTCATACTAAGCAAATGTTAAAAATGGAAACTTACAAGGCAGGTTTCTATTAATAAATTACTAATTTTATCTGTTTCATCCACATAAGATTTCAGTTTTTTGGAAAAGGTTTTGCTACTTGAAAATCATTGCTCTACAGGTATCCTCTTTAAGCTCCAATCTAAAATACTCTGCCCTCTTTTTGGTTAATTCCCACCCTTCCAAAACCCAAATTAGTTCTTTCATTCAGCAAGAATCTCCTGGGTACCCCCTGGGTGTGCCGGGCTCTGTTCCCAACACTGCAGCTTTCCATGAGGCCTTCGTCCCAGATCCTGACCCTTGAGGCACTCCAGTCTAGCAGCAACTCTGCCCTATATCCATCAGTCAATCAATCGATGATTTCTATCTGTCTAAGAGTCTGACTCAGTTTCCCAATTAGGATGTGAGAGGAGGGAGCCTACCATGTTCAATGTTGCATCCTTAGTACCTTGCACAAGGCCTGGCACCCAGGAAATGTTTAATGAATGAAAGAAAGAGACAAAGCTGGGTTTGAATCCCAGCTCTGCAATTTACTAGCTGTGTAGCCTTGGTCAATAACTTAACCTCTCTGAGCCTCCGTTCCCCTGTGTGTACAATGGTAAAAATAAGAAGTACTTTATAAGGTGATGCTAATAATCAAATGAAGCACTTCATACACCACCTGTACCGCGGGAGGTTCTTGGTAAATGGTAACTATGAACAGTCTGCTGAGGACCCAGCAGGTGCACCCAGGGCTGGGCAGGGGGCTTACTTTGGCGGTGCAGGTGGCCCTGAGTGGCTCAATGAGCCGGTCCACCCTCTGCAGGACGGGCGCAGGACACAAGGTAGCCAATCGAGCGAGCATGATGAAGGTCAGCATCTGCCCAGGGGGAAGGAGACAGAGTTCTTGGTAAAATGGCCCAAGACCCAAAGCAGCAGGCCCCGGGGAAGAGCAGAGGCTCTGGACCCACACCCAGAGCTCAGTGCCAAACTCAGCACTGATTCCTGCAAGGCCCTGCCCGAGTCTCGCCCTCTCTGGGCCTCAGTTCTCGCATCTGTAAAGTGTGCATGATAAGGCCTACTATGCCAACTACACTCGGCTGTCCTGACGAGGATCAGATAAGAGAGGTACCAGGAGGCGGCAGTTCTCAAGCTCAGATGCCCACAGGGCCAGGCAGATACTGTCCATGAAAAAGAGGGCCAGGTGGGAACTGGGAAGGAATAAGTAGTCCACTCTCCAGACAGTGGCTAGTTAGCTCCAGCCGGTTGTGGCTAGGTGGGACTGTGGCCAGGATTGGACTGTTTTCAAAAGAAACCCAGATTTTCATGTAAAATCTCTCAGTTTTTAAGTGTTGGCACCTGATTAAAAACAACAACAACAACTGTGTGAGCCAACTAAACACGTCTACAGGCCTGGATTCAGCCTGCAGGAGAATAACAGTGCCCTCTGTTGAAAATGGTAAAGACCCTAAAATGAT